CCTCCTCCTCCTCCTCCTCCTCCTCCGGCTCCTCCTCCTCCACTTCCTCCTTCTCCGCCTCCTCCTTCTCCTCACTCATCATCCTTTCACATCTTCCTCAAGTTCATTCTCAATATCCTCCTCCCCCGCCATCGTCGTCGTCGTCCTCCTCCTCCTCCTCCTCCTTCTCCTCCTTCCTCCTCATCCGTCCCTTCTCCCTCGCCCCCTCCGATCCCTCCCTCTTCCCTCCCCCTAGGTCCCCCGCAAAGGTGGCGTTCTTCACCTTGAAGGTCGCCTCGAAGTCCTCACGCCCCGCACACGGGGCCTGCCCCCTCGGCGGCGCAGGCTGGGCGGAGGAGAGGAGGGAGGACTGAGGGAAGAGGCGAGGGAGGGGAAGAAGGTCCCCTCCCCCTCCCTCATCCCTTCATGCCTCCTCTTCCTGCCCCCTGCCCTTCTCCTCCTCTTCTTCTCTCCTCTCCCCTCCTCCCCTGGCTCCTTCATCCCCCGCGGAGGGGGTGGGGGGGGAGGGGCGGTGGAAGAGGGAGGGTTGGAGGGAGGAGTGCTAGGAGGGTGGAGGGAATGTGAGAGAGGAACGGACGGATGGCGGATTTCGGCGTAGCGCAGACACTTCTCGGAGTTTCAACTGATGCATGCTATTACAATCCACGGCTTCTGAGTACGAACCTGCAGGAGGGAGGTGTGGAGAACGGGGAAAGGAATGGCAAGATAGGAGAGAAGTGAAGAGGAAGACCGGAAGGCAGAAAGAGGAGGTTACGGGAGGGACAAGGGAAGTGGAGGGAGGAGGAAAGATGAGGGATAATTCATGCGGGAGGGAGAGGGGAGAAAGGGGAGAAAGAGAGAGGTGGAATGGGGCCTCCTCCTCCTCCTCCTGCTCCTCCTCCTCCTCCTTCTCATCCTCCTTGCGCCACTTCTCGTCCTCCTCCTCGTTCACTCCTTCCTCCTTCTCTTAGTTCTCCTCCTCCCGCCCCGTTTCCCCGCTTCTTCCACTCCTCCTCCTCCTCCTCCTCCTCCTCCTCCTCCTCCTCCTCCTCCTCCTCATCATCATATTCATCATCATCATATCATCATCATCATCATCATCATCAATCATCATCTCATCAATTCATCATCATCAACTTCATCATATTCATCATCATCATCATCTTCATCCTTCCCCCTCCTCCTCCTCTTCACCTCCTCCTCCTCCTCCTCCCCCTCTTCCTCTCCTTCCTTTCCTCCTCCTCCTCTCGAGACGGCAAAGAAGGCGCGGGAAGGAATGAGGACGTGCGGGAAAAGGCGGAGATGGAGAGTGAGGAGTATGAAGAGGCGGAGGAGGAGGAGGGGAAAAGGAGGAGGAGGTGGGAGAGGAGGGAAGGAGAGGATGGGGCGGCGGGAGGAGGAGGAGGAGGAGGAGGAGGAGGAGGTGGAGGAGGAGGAGGAGGGAGGAGGAGGAGGAGGAGGAGGGATGGGAGGGGGGTTTTGGCTGCGCCGCGGGGAAGGGCGAAGCCGCGGCGCGATCGGCGAGGAAGGCCCTGTCAGCCGCGAGGTTTTTCTCGGTCTCCGCCTCGGCACCCGCGGGGGGCCGGCGAGGAGCTGTCCAACAGATGTCCTGTTGCTGCTACAGCTCGTCGTCGTCGCCGCCGCCGCCGCCGTCGTCGTCGTCGTCGCCGCCGCCGCCGCCGTCGTCGTCGTCGTATTCCTCCTCCTTCCTCTCCTCCTCCTCCTCCTCCTCCTCCACCGCCTGAACCCCAACCCTCCTTGGCTCATCATTCTGCTCTCCTCCCGCCTCCTCCTCCTCCCTCCTCTGTGATTGCTTCTCCGCCCTCCCTCCGTTCTCTGTCGCCGTCGTCGTCGTGTTGCCGCCGTCGTCGCCCCCGCCGCCACCGTCGACGTCCATTCCTTCCTCCTCAGGGGTATCAGCAAGATACCGATACCAGTCTTCTCACTCTCCCCTTGTCCTCCTCACCCTACTCCTCTCACGCCTTTCCCTCCTCCCCCACCGTCATCCTCGGGCTCTTTCTCCTGCTTTTCTTCCTCCAAATCATCCTTCCCGACCCTGCCTGGTCTTACCCCGCCCCATCCTCTTCCTATTCCTCCTTCTCCTCCTTCTCGTCCCCCCCTCTTCCTCCTCACCCCCTCCTCGTCCTCCTCGCCGCTCTCTCCCCGCCCTTTTCTCCTCCTCGTCCACCTCCTCCACCTCTTCCTGTTGAACCTTCTCCTCCGCCTGCTCCTCCTCACCTCCCCCCTCCTCCTTCTCCGCGCCTCTTCCTCCTCCTCGAGGCGGTAAAGAAGAGCGGCGGGAAGGAAGAGGACGTGCGAGGAAAAGGCGGGATGAGGATGAGGAGGATGAAGAGGCGGAGGAGGAGGAGGGAGAGGAGGGAGAGGAGAGGAGGAGGAGGAGGAGGAGGAGGAGGAGGAGGAGGAGGAGGAGAAGGAGGAGAAGGCTCCTCCTCTTCTTCCTCGCCTCCTCCTCCCCCCTCCTCCTCCCTCCTCCTCCTCGCTCTCCTTCCCTCCTCCCCCCCCCCCCCCTGGGGCGGCCACCAGCTCGCCCCTGGCGGCGGCAAGCCGTGCGGTGACCGCGGCCTTGCGCTCAGCGAGCTCCTGGCGCTCCGCCTTCGGGCGCTGGCGAGGGGGCGACGCAGGAGGCGGCGCCGGCGCTGGCGGCGCAGCCCGACGAGGACGCCAGCGACGACGACCCGGACGAGAGCGCGGGCGCCCTCCCTGCCGCCTTCCCCTGCGCCGCCGCCGCCGCCCCTTAACGGTCAGAGGTCCTGGCGTTCCCTCAGAGCCTGTTCTTCTTGCTGATGTAAACATCCTGATTGCTAGTATATGTAATATTCTTCTTCTCCACCATCATCAGCATCATCGTCATCATCAGCATCAGCATCAGCATCAACATCAGCATCAGCATCATCATCATCAGCATCATCACCATCATCATCATCATCATCATCATCATCACCACCACCACCACCACCACCACCACCACCACCACCACCACCACCATCATCATCATCATCATCATCATCATCATCATCATCATCATCATCATCATCATCATCATCATCATCATCATCATCATCATCATCATCATCATCATCATCATCATCATCATCATCATCATCAACATCATCATCATTGTCGTCATCACCATCACCACCATCACCATCATCATAAGCATCATCATCAGCATCATCATCGTCATCATCATTACCATCATCAGCATCACCATCATCAACATCATCATCATCACCATCATCATCATCATAATAATCATCATCATAGTCATCATCAACACCACCATCATCATCATCATCATCCTCACTATCATCAGCGTCACCTCCACCACCACCACCACCACCGTCATCGTCATCATCATCACCATCATCATCACCATCATCATCATCACCATCATCATCATCATCATCATCATTGTCGTCATCACCATCACCACCATCACCATCATCATCAGCATCATCATCATCATCAGCATCATCATCGTCATCAGCATTACCATCATCAGCATCACCATCATCATCATCATAATCATCATAGTCATCATCAACACCACCATCATCATCATCATCCTCACTATCATCAGCGTCACCTCCACCACCACCACCACCACCGTCATCGTCATCATCATCGTCATCATCATCATCACAGTCATCACCATCATCCTCATCATTCCTATCACCATCCCCATCCTCTTAATCATCATCAGCATTATAATCATCGTCGTCTTTATCGTCACCATCAGCAGCAGCAGGATAACCATCCTGAACCTCCCTTCTTTATGAATAGCTCCTCCCTGTCGCGCCCCCGGACGTGTCGGCAGGGCGGGCCAGGCGATGCGCCTGTGACGTCCTCACCACTTATGATCCTGAAGCTTGACAGTCACAGCAGCTTCACTGATGGAGGGTGGGCTGTTTTCAAGAATGTGGCTCTCGCCTTGGCTCCGCGCAAATTTTCATCAAACGTTTGCAACAATGTCAAGGATGGAAGGCGAGTGTGCTTTGTGTGGCCTTCGCCGTAGCGCTGCGCACATTCGTTTCAAAGCATGCAACAACTTCAAGGATGGATGGTGGTCCCTCTTCAAAATAGGGTTTTCGCCTTAGCGCCGCGCACATTCTTCGGACAAGTTCAGAACAGTTTCAACGACTCGCATAGTTAGTCGACGTCCCAGAACTAGTGTTCTGACTAGGAGTTAGGGCTGTCAGGGCGCAACAGCCACTTCAATTCGCAGTGTTGAAGTCCCAGGACGCAACAGTGAGGACGCTGTTTGGGGTTGTCAGGAAGCAACAGTCCTGCTGATTCGTATCGCTGGAGTCCCAGGAACTCGCCGCATCCAAGATGAGGCTCGTGTTTTCTCTGGACACCCCTCCCGCAGGAGCAAGAACACGCCCAAATCATCATGGCCGCCACCCACCCTCACCATCACCATCATCATCCTCATCATCGTCATCACCATCGTCATCCTCATCGGTCATCTACGAAAAGAGAAGCCTCAGGCGGGGGCCTCGTCCGTGTGTGAATCTCGAAATCTCGGGCAGGAGCCCCCTTCATATAGGGCCCGCGCCTCGTTTCTTCTCTTTTTGTTGGGGTGGGGGTGTAACATGTTTTGTCCCAGGTAGTCATTCGGAACCTGTATGTGTCGTCGTTCTTGTTCCCCGGAGGCTTGCGTCTTCAGGGAGTATCAGGCGGGAGCATTGCCTGTGAGTGAATTGCGAGGAAGTCTTGGGCGAGAGCCACCTCCCCCAGGAGCCCGCACCTGGCGTTTTTTTCTTTTATGTAGAAAGGAAGCCCAGAGGGGCCATTCGGAACGTGTACCTGTCCTCACGTTTGCGTCCCAGAGGCCTGAATCTTCAGGCAGTCTCAGGCGGGAGCCCCTTCCATATAGGCCCCGCACTGGCTGCTTTGCAGTCCCAGGGGGTCATCCAGAATTTGTGAATGTCTTCACCTTTGTGCCCATCCAGCTGAAATCAAATCTCAGGCGGGGCCCTTGTCTGTGAGTGCGTTGTGAGGAAGTCTCAGACGTGAGCCCCGTCCCTATGGGTCCCACACCTTGCGGCGGCCTCGAGGCCCCCCCGCGCGGCCTGCAGCGCCCGCGATATCCCGGGCGACGCTGGAGATCCTGCCCGTTTTGCGTCCCCCGCAAGCCCCTCAGCGCCCCCCGCGGCGGTCTGGCCGCGGGCGCGCCGCCCCTCGCGACGCTCGACCCGTTCGACGACCTCGACGCGGGCGCCCGAAACGTGTAGGTGTCGACTCTCTTGAGCTCCTGAACACCTGAATCTTCAGGAAGTGTCAAGCGGGGACCATGTCTGTCTGCGAATTGCGAGGACGTCTCAGGCCGCAGCCCCTTCCCTATAGTGCCCGCGCCTTGCGTTTTTGATTACAAGGGGTCTTTTTGAAACATGTAACTGCCGTCCCCTTTGAGCTCCAGGGGAAAGAATGTGGAGGGAGTCTTGAGCGGGAGACTCTTTGTGATTGACTCGTGAAGAAGTCGGGGAGGGCCTTCCATGTAGGGCCCGCATCTCATATTTTTAATCCCATGGATCACTCCCAGACAAACTAAGGAGATACTCATGTGGGGTCGAAGCGCGTGTGGATTACTCTCAGACAAACTAAGGAGATGATCATGTGGGGTCGTACCGTCGGGGTAATTGTATTTTGGCGCGGTTGAATCTTTTCCGACGGTTGTCAAAGGCCCAGGGGCACCCGAGTGGGTCCCCACCCCCGTCATTTCGGGGGACCGCTGGGCACTGCAGCTACTGCTGCTGCTCCTCCTCCTCCTCCTCCTCCACAATCCCCTCCTCACCTTCATGCGCCTGGTGCTGCACCAGTCCGGCATTGAGCGGAGAGTTCCTCCTTCGCCGCCTCCTCTTCTGAATCTACATATACATACATACATACATACAGACAGACAGACAGTCAGACAGACAGACAGACATACATGCATATAGACGTAAACATATACACTATCTGCACACCTGTGTATACATTCACAAATCTATAGATGCCTCTGACATCCGCCACCGTGCCCCCCCCGGCACGTTGATGCGTGGCAGACTGCCAAGTGTTGCCTGACAGGGTCTGCGTAATCTTCAAGCCCCCCCCCACCTCCGGGGCGCACGCGGGCGCGCGCAACCCCCGCTCTTGCCGAGGCTCCGCCGGCGCCCAGGCACGTCCCTGGCGCTCTCCAAGGCGCTGGAGATAGCCAAGGTGGCTTCTCAAACGACATTGTTGTCTTCTCCCCCTCCTCATCCCTCTGCTTCATCTTCACCGCTAGTATTCACTCCTCGTCCTCCTCCTCCTCCTCCTCCTCGTCCTCCTCCTCGTCCTCCTCCTCCTCCTAGAAGCCACCAAGGCCGCCAACATGGGCCAAGAGGCCTCCATGACGGCCCAAGAGACGGCCCAAGACGGCTCCACGAGAGCCTCTAGCAAGGCCCGGAGAAGTCAAACTCGTTGACTGTCTCAAACTCATGAAAATAGGTTTCGTGCTGTTTCTCAGACCGCGCCGACTCCCTCCACCTCTTCTCATGCCCTCCTCTTCCTGCTCTTCTTTCTCGCTCAGTCTCGCTCAGATTCACTCAGACACACTCAGACTCAATCATATTCACACTCATACTCACTCATACTCAGACTCATTCATGCTCAGACTCGTTCGTACTCACTCGTACTCAGACCCATTCACACTCAGACTTACTCACGATCATTTTCACTCATACTCGGACTCGCTCATGCTCAGAATCATTCAGACTCACTGGTGCTCAGACTCACTCAGACTTACTCGTGCGCAGACTCACTCACACTCAGACTTAGCCACACTCAGATTCACCAGCCCTCAGACTCACTCATACTCAAACTCACTCAGGTCGCCGTCGAGTGCGACTCAGGCTCATTCATGCTCAGACTCACTCACACGCAGGCTCACTCACTCTCTGACTCACTCGCACTCAGAGTCACTCACTCTCAGACTCACTCATACTCAGACCAACTCACACTCATACTCTCTTCACAATCCGATTTACTCATATTCAGGATCAGTCACTCACACACACAAAGACAAGCACAAAGACAAACACAAACACAAACACACATGAGGACGGCCTCGTCGGGAAGGCCTGCCAGAAGGACGTGCCCCTTGGGAAGAAGCTCCAGACCCTGTGCGTCTAGGAGCTGCAGGCCGTGGGGCAGCGCTTCCAGGCACAGGTGTGCCATTGATCGGATGCAAGCTTCGGGGCGCGAGCTGCCGTAGGAGGATGCACTGCAGGTCGAGAACCCCATTGAGGCGGGGCTCGCTGGCGACCTCCTCGGGCAGCACATTCAGGACGTGTCCAAGGCAAGGCTGCTCCAGCCGCGCTCACCGACGACGCTTGGCATGGCACGGGGCAAGAGCTCCCGTCGGGCACGGGTGTGGATCTCCAGCTGGTGCAGGACCTCGTTGAAGGAGCCCTGGGACACACAAATAAATAGACACAAATAACAGGATTCCCCTATATTTTCTTATATTTTCTTGGTTATTGTCTTCCCCCCCACTTCCCATATTCTCCCCTATTTTCTGTGGAATCGACAATGAATTGTGTCTGTGTGTGTGTGTGTGTTTTTGTTCTCCCTCCTGACTCGTCGAGGATGAGCTCCCAGCCGTGGGATTTGGGAGCGCCTGCGCTCCCAGATCCCCAGGACCTCGCTCGACCGCCGGCCCGTCTCTCATATGGGGCGGGGGACGGACGCTGCGCGGCCGTAGCCTTAAGTCAGGCGTGTCCCCCCGCAGGGCGATTTTGGGCGAAAAGTCAAGCATACTGAAGGAATGCCCCCCAAATATTCAAAAATAGGAAAGAAAATCGTCACCAGACTACTGTTTGGACTATCTTTGAATATTCCTCCTGTCGAGGGACACGCCTGACTTAACCGTAGCCCGCTCTCCTCCGGGCACGCGCCCGCCCCTTCCCAGACATGCGACGCCCTGACTTTTTCAGAGCGCGGTCCCCGGACGTTCCGGCCCTTTAGGGTTTAGAGTTTAGGGTTCAGGACCGGCTCTCCTCCCGAGCTGCGAGCTGTCTTCTGACGGCCCCGGGGCCCGGCGGGGGCCCCCAGGGGCCGAGCATGGCGAAGGACCTCCCGTCCCGATGTGTTGGAACACGACGGGGGCATGTCTGGGCTGGTTCCGTCCTCCCTCTCCCTGCCTCTCCCAGGCGAGTCCGGCAGTGGTGACGAAGGCCTCCAGGAGGCCCCAAGCGAGGCAAGGGTAGAGGTATGGGACCCATACCTCTACCCCTGCCTCGTTTGGGTACCTTTTCCTCCTCGCAGTGCTGGTCCCTTCCTCCCTCTCCCTGCCTCTCCCTTCTCCTCTGCCTTCTGCTCCTCATCCACGTCTCCTATTCTTCCCCCGCCCCCGTCTCCCTCCCTCGTGCGTCGTCGTCGTCGTCCTCCTCCTCCTCCTTCTCCTCCTCCTCCCTCCTCCGGCTCCACATATCTATCCTCCCTCTCCTCCTCAACCTTCGCCTCTCCTACTCATCCTCCCCTCATCTCCCTCGTACTCTCTCTCTCTCTCCCTCCTCCTCCTCCTCCTCCTCATGCTTCTCCTGTTTTCTCCTTCCCATTCCTCCTCCTTCGTCTTCCACCCCTCAACTCCCCCACAACCACGCCCTCTCGCTCACATCACCCCGCTTCCCTCATCCCTTCCTGTTCTCCTCCTCCTCCCGCTTCCCCTTCCTTCCTCCCGATTCCTCCCCCCGCCGTCTGGCGTTTGCCAGTGGGGGACTGCCACTTAGACTGCCAAAACGGAGGAATGCCCTTCCGGGCTTTTGCCGCCCGCCGCGAGCGCCGCCAGGGACGCGACTGTCTGCACGTCCGGGCCCCTCGGCCCCCCAAATCACACTGGAGGGCCGGGGCGGGCCCGGGCTCGGACTTGTCGTCGTCGTCGTCGTCGTCGTCGGCGGCGGCGGCGGCGGCGGCGTCGTCGTCGGCGGCGGCGTCGGCGTCGGCGTCGGCGTCGGCGTCGGCGGCGGCGGCGTCATCGTCGCTGGCGGCGTCGGCGTCGGCGTCGGGGCCTGCCCTAACGCTGGTCGAGCCTCACAGCCCGCGCGCCCCTCCCGTGGCCCCCGCAGGAGGGACGGGGCGCCACGGCACGAGAGAGAGAGAGAGAGCCAGGAGGCCAGCGGAGCCGCCCGGGGCCTTCAGGTTCTCGAGCAGGTTCTCGGTGTGAAGCTTCTCCTGGCGCCCACGGGCCGGAGGATTGGCAATCCTGCTCCGCCTCCTCCTCCTCCCTCCCCTCCTCGGCTCCTCACGCTCCATCCACCTCCTGGAGCCTCCTCCTCCTGCTTCCTCCTCCTCTGTCTCCGCCTCCTCCTGCCCTGGCCCTGCCTCCTTCTTTGCCTCTCCTCGACCCCTGACCCTCTCTCCTTTCCCTGCCCTCGCTCCGCCTTCTCGTTTTCCTCCTCCATGTAGCTACTCCTCCTCCTTCACCTCTCCTTCTCCCATCCTCGCACCCCTCCTCCCGTGACCCTCTCTCCTTCTCCTCCTACGTTCGATGTCAAGGAAGCCGACCTTAAGCATCTCAATGAAGATGTTGGCGGATTAGCGGCAAATGGCCGCGAAGAACTGCACACAACGGCCACCGGCTAGCGGCAAACAGCGGCCCGCGCCCCGCGCGGACCGTCCACCAATCGCCCCCTTCTCGCCGCGAAAGGGCGCTGAAGGCCAACTAAGGCAACGTAGAATTCAAGGCTTCAAACACACATGACTCCGTTCCTTCTCCTCGACCTCTGACCCTCTCCGCTCCTCCACTCCGAGGGGGCTGCCTCGTTCCTGCTAGCTCATCCCTCGCCCATGGCTCGTTCACGCAAGATCCGCTATCTCACACACACACACACACGGAGGAGGGGGAAGAAGAGCAGCTCCCGACCCTCCACAAGAACCATCGCGAGCATCACGCAGACTCAGGTTGTTCGATGGGTCTCAAAACCTACCGCATGTGGCGGGAAAGAAACCGTGCCCGAGTGTACGGGAACTGCGATTTTAGAAACCAACACGTTCGTTGCTGAAGGCACTGTTCGGGGCTCGGATTCGGGTGAAGGGTGTGCAGCGATATATGCGCTGTGTTTGTAGGTATGTGTGTACATACACAGGATTAAACATCTACACTCGTAAATACACTCATTCGTAAACATGCACGAGCATTATACATACATACATACATACACGTAATCACAACTAGCGATGTGCACATATACGTAAGCATGTGTGTCTGCATGCATGTGTGTATGCCTGTCTGTACATATTTGTATATAGGCATACACATACACACATATATATACATGTATATATGAGTATGTAGGATTGTTTGTATGCATGCATGTAGGTATGTAGGTATGTATGCATATATGCATGTATGCACGCGCGCATGTATGCCTGTCTGTCTGTCTGTCTGTATGTACGTACGTATGCATGTATGAATTCATGCATGAACACACATGTATGCATACATACTTAAGTCATCGCCGGCGTGCATACATCTGTATATCAATATATAGATGTAACTATATGCGTTTATGTATGGATTCACGGACACTGCAAGACTTGGCGAAACATCCCGGCCAATTTCAATGGGCGGTTGGGCTCCCAGGTTCTGGGTTCCCAATTCTGGGCCGATTTCTGTGGGCGGCTAAGTTCCTGAATTTTCGGTTCCTGGTTCCGGCGTTCCCCGCAATGTATAGTCGGCTGGGTTCCCGGGTTCCCTGTTCTGGAGCTTCCAGCAATGCAAGGTCGGGTTCCCGGATTCCCGATTCTGAGGTCCCCAGCAGTGTAAGTAAGGTTTGGTGTGGTTCAGGTTTCCCAGTTCCCGTTGCTGGATTCCTGGCCGTGTAAGATTCTGGGGCTCTGGATACCTTGGTTGTGGCCACGCTCCTTGGTCTTTAATCGTCAAGAATATAAGGGTCAAAAGGTCCCGCGCAGAGCTGACCAGAGGGAGTGGGCAGCGAGATAGAGAAAGAGTAATTATGACAACTGCTGGATACAACAGTGAAGGATGGATTGGGAGATCAGAATGAAACGCTATACCGCCGAATAACATATCAGACAACATAGGGCGAAGCTGGGTATATAAGGAGAAGAACAGAGATATCCACTGAGAGAAAGAGTGAAAGAAAAGAGAGAGAGAGAGAGGGAGTGAAACAGGAAGAGAGAGAGAGAGAGGGGAAAGAGGGAGACAGAGAGAGATACTATATGTATATATACAGACAGAGAGAAACACATAGAGACAGACAGAGAAAGAGGCACACACTGAATATATGCATATTTAGATATGGATAATTACATGCATACAAATATTCATATATATATATACATATACACATATACATGTATATACTAGCACCATCGCGCGCGCCTTCGCGCGCGCTCATGTTCCAACAGATCCCTGCCTTGACGAGTGCACTGCTCCACTGAAGTAAGTGGACCACAGATGGCTTGAGCGGGAGTAAATTGCCCACAGCGCTGAACGCAGTCCGGGCACTGAGAAATCCACGCGTGTCAATCCGCATCCTGGAAGGCTTTCGGGGAAGACGGCTGCGCGGGGGGCGGAGGCCTGATTAACCGGCTTCCCAAAAGGCATTGCGGGAACATGGGTTTTAGGGGGCGTCTTGGGGAGCCTGCTAGGGCGTGCCGTCGTCGCCGTCGTCGTCGCAATGTCGTCGTCGCCTCTTGGGGCGCGCCGTCGTCGTCGTCGTCGTCGTCGTCGTCGTCGTCGTCGTCGTCGTCGTCGTCTTCGTTGTTTCGTCGTCTTCGTCGTCGTCGGTTCAAGAGGCCACTCGGGGCAACTTTGATCCCGGATGGAATGGGATGGGGGGGAGGGGTAGGACGTTAGATATGACGCGAGCGCACCTACTTAGCATGTCCTCCTCCCGGCCCCCCTTCTCCCAATCCTCCTCCTCCCGCTCCTGAGAAATGAAAGCAGCAGGATGCCTTTGCCCTAGCTGTTGTAGCGCCGTTCAAACCTTGGGAAACCCCCGGGCCGCAGAAGACCCAGGCGCGAAGCGGCACAAGGGCCGGTGGACCACAGAACTGAAGCGGAGCCAATTAGGACGGCTGTCAACACCCAGGGGACCACCACCACCGCCAGGAGGGGGAGGGAGGTCGTCAGCGTCGTCGAAGTCCGTCCCGCCGCCCGCCAGGCCGCCGCCCGCCGGAGGGAAAGGGGAGGGAAGGGGGGGAGGACCCAGGTGGGCCCCAGGCGGGGAGACCGCGTCCCCGAAGGCCCACCCGCCAAGGCCGGCGAGCGCCTGCATGATGGCGATGCCGAGGCGGCACGCCATCACCTGCAGCTGAGCCCGACGCTGAATCGAGCCCCCGGCAGCCTTGGTGATCCACCCCGTTTTCGCCGTGACGCGGGGCTGGGCCCCCCACCAGGCCGGCGCGACCCGCAGATTCCCCGAGTTCGAGCCGACGTCCAGCAAAACGCGGGCACTCGGCCCAGAAGTGCCGAGCCGACGCCTGGGTGTGCCCGCAACCGAACGGGCAAACGCACGCGCTGCCGTGCCTGCGGGTCGGCGTGCACACGGCCCCGCCCCTCCAAACGGCGAGGAGGTTCGTCTCGTATCGGCCCAGCGATCGCCAGAACTGGGCCCAAGGCGGCGCGCTCTGAACAGCCAGATCGATCTCCCCGATCCCCTCTTCGTCGTGCCGCGGCGGGGGCCCAGGCGCCGCCTGGGGGCGAAGGAACGCAGCAAGGGGCAGACGAAAGACCGAGCGACCGAGGGCCAGCCGAGGGCGCGGCGCGACCACAGCAACCGACGGCCAACCGAAAAATAACCAAAACCAGCCAGGAAGGGGCAGACCAGAGACCGAGCGACCGAGGGCCAGTCGAAGGCCGGGCGCGACCACAGCAACCGACGGGCAACCGACGGACAACCTAAAAATAACCAAAACCAGCCAGGAAGGGGCAGACGAGAGACCGAGCGACCGAGGGCCACCCGAGGGCCAGGCGCAACCACAGAAACCGACGGACCACCGACGGACAACCGAATAATAACCAAAGCCAGCCAGGAACGGGCATGCGAGAGACCGGGCGACCAAGGGCAAGCCGAGGGCCAGGCGCGACCACAGCAACCGACGGACAACCGAAAGACAACCGAAACAGAAACAAAACCAGCCAGGAAAAAGGCAGACCAGAGACGCAGCGACCGAGGGCCAGCCCAGAGCCATGCGCGACCAGAGCAACCGACGGACAACCGACGGACAACCGAAAAATAACCAAAACCAGCCAGGAAGGGGCAGCCGAAGACCAATTCAACCGACGGGCAAGCGAAAACAAGTCCGAACAAGGAAAATCAGCCCGGAAGGGGCAACCATAATGTATTGCGCGGCCATGGGACAAGAAACCGAGCGCAGAAGAAGTTGCCAGCCACTGAAATGCCCAAACACGTCGTGCCATAAGAAACTGGCAGGGGCAACAACGAAAAGCCAACTTTCTTATTGACCGCCGTGGGTGTACCAACAATCATCTGGGGAAGGGACAGCCCAAACCCAAGAAGTAGATGCGCCGGCCCACCAAAAACATACAAGAATATCAATTTTTGAAGTGGGATGAAGGCGCTTGAAGTAGATTGGAATCTGGGAATCCAAAAATGCCACTTTCAACGACGGGCGTGTATGATGATGATGATGATGATGATGATGGTGATGATGATGATGATGCTGATTATGATGATGGTGATGATGATGTCGATGCTGCTGATGATGATGATGATGATGATGATGATGATGATGATGATGATGATGATGATGATGTTGGTAATGATGATGCTGATGATGATGTTGATGGAGCTGGCGCTGATAATGAGGGCGGCGACAACGACGAAGATGTTGATGATGGTGTTGATGATGGTATGGGTGATCCTACGATGGAGCGTGACGATGGCAATGACGACAAAGATGGTGATGGTGATGAACATGATATTGTTTCTTGTGCGGCGCTGCTCGTGACGCCTCGGATCCCCGCGCGCGCCGTGCCCTCAGTACCCGACTGCCTTGGACTGCGCCAGGTAGTCTGACCACTCCTGGAACGGAGACTTGATGAAGTGCGTGGGCTTCCACAGGTCGGGCGTCAGGTAGCCGAAGGTCGCGCGCAGGGCGTCGAAGGTCGCCTTGATGAAGTTGCCCTTGGTCCTCGTGTGCCCGCAGGAGCAGGTGAAGCAGTCCTGGATGCCACAGAAGGC